TCAACACCGAGTCAATATCGAGTCAATCCTGAGTCAACACTGAGTCAATACTGAGTCAACACCGAGTCAATACTTAGACAATACTGAGTCAACACTGAGTCAATACTGACTCAATACTGTGTCAATATCGAGTCAATCCTGAGTCAACACTGAGTCAATACTGAGTCAACACTGACTCAATACTGAGTCAATATTGAGTCAATACTGACTCACTAATGAGTAAAGGCTGAGTCAATATTGAGTAAATGCTGAGTCAATTTTGGGTTAATGCTGAGTCAATACTGAGTCAACACTGAGTCAATACTGAGTTAAAGCTGAGTTAATATTGGGTTAATGTTGAGTCAATAATGACTCAAAACAGAGTCATTTTTGAGTCAATACTGAGTTTATGCTGAGTCAACACTAAGTCAATATTGGGTTAATACTGAGTCAACACTGAGTTCATAATGACTCACTAATGAATAATGGATGAGTCAATATTGAGCTAATGCTGAGTCGATACTAAGTTAATACTGAGTAAAGGCTGAGTCAACACTGAGTCAATACTGAGTCAACACTGAGTCAATACTTAGACAATACTGAGTCAACACTGAGTCAATACTNCAATACTGAGTCAACACTGAGTCAATACTTAGACAATACTGAGTCAATACTGAGTCAATGCTCAGTCGATATTGATTCAATACTGAGCTTATGCTGAGTCAACACTGAGTCAATACTTAGTCGATATTGATTCAATACTGAGTTTATGCTGAGTCAACACTGAATCAATACTGAGTAATTGCTGAGTCAGTTTTCAGACAACATTTAGTCAAGTTGATGGATACACAGTTCCTTCTGGAACTATTTATCAAACTAAAGATTAGGATTCTGTTGTCCACACCCTGAGTCCGGAGACACAGATTTACTCAGGTTCTGTCTTGTTTGGGGCACCCTGGAGAGGATCCAGTCCAGTCTAACAGCCCACTTATCGCCCCTCTACATGTGATTTATGCTCTCTGCGTCCCCCCGCAACAATCTGACCATCTTAGGGATGGAAAACGTTCCCTGCTGCCAGCAGCTCACCGCTACCATCTGTCAGAAACTCTCCCAAAGACAGAAGAAACTGTTCACTCAGTTTACTGTCCTTTATTCTACAGCGTCAGCCTGAGGAGAAATACAAACTGTTTTATAAAACACAAGTCAGAGGAGGAGGAGGAAGAGAGCTGATAAATGATGAAGAGAACAGCACCAGAAAAACAGACTGCATTAAAGGACCACATTTTACAGTCAACGTACTCTGTTAATGTGACTTAATCACTTCACACAATGTCTGAAGTGACAGGGTGAGGTGATAGAGTGAAGTGATAGAGTGTAGTGANGTGTGTGTGTGTGTGTGTGTGTGTGTGTGTGTGTGTGTGTGTGTGTGTGTGTAGTTTAGTGGGAGCATACCATCAGCCTGCACTGATGAAAACATTCTATAAACTGTGTAGGATTGGACATCCATTATGAAAAACGTACACTTTACACAAACCTCTCAGCTGCAGCTCAAACTCCACCACAAACTGATCCCAGTCTGGACCTACAGGCGCTGCAGGAACTCTTTTACCCCAAACACTGGGAGCCCAGAGCAGGAACATTACATCTGAGCTTTAAAATGTTCTGCTTGGTTCTTTTAGGAATGAAGATGCTGCCTTCAAACAACAGATGACAAGAAACTACAGAGGACTTCATGGTTCACTCATAAAACCGTCAACCCTCCATCACCGTGCTGACAGAGACTGAGTCAATACTGAGTCAATACTGAGTTAATACTGAGTCAATACTGACTCAACACTGACTCAATACTGACTCAATACTGACTCAATACTGAGTCACTAACCAGTAAAGGCTGAGTCAACACTGAGTCAATACTGAGTCAATACTTAGACAATACTGAGTCAATACTGAGTCAATACTGAGTCACTAATGAGTAAAGGCTGAGTCAATACTGAGTCAACACTGAGTCACTAATAAGTAAAGGCTGAGTCAACACTGAGTCAACATTGAGTCAATACTTAGACAATACTGAGTCAACACTGAGTCACTAAGGAGTAAAGGCTGAGTCAACACTGAGTCAATACTTAGACAATACAGAGTCAATACTGAGTCACTAATGAGTAAAGGCTGAGTCAACACTGAGTCAATACTGAGTCAACACCGAGTCAATACTTAGACAATACTGAGTCAACACTGAGTCAATACTNGTGTGTGTGTGTGTGTGTGTGTGTGTGTGTGTGTGTGTGTGTTAGGTTTCATCGACACTCAGTTTATTCTGCAGGAATTTCCAGGCTTTTTGGATCAGAACCAAAGCAGCAGAATCTGAAGGTTCTGGGTGTTTCTGGTCWCTAACAAACACAGGGAGCAGTGCTGCTTTAATTTAAGGCCTCGACTTCCTGCAGCTTCTAATCAGACCTCAGAAACTTCAGCTCTGCAGTTTGCTGCAGGAACACGATCTGATCATATTCAGGTTTTCTGGAGAGAATCGCTGCTCGTCTGTCAGCATTTCTGCAGAAACACTTCTGACACATGATCTCATTTGGTCCAACAACATGGCCGACGTTTGGATGAAAGACAAATATTTAGTCAAATTTAAAGTGTCTGTGACATGAGTACCCTTCACATACAAAAAGTTAAAGAAAACATCTTTATATTTAAGAAACTTGACATAACACACACGATTTGACCCATTTTGTCCCATAAATGACATAATTTCCTCTGAATMTGGCTCAGCCAAAGTGAAACAGGAAGTGACATCACAGGGGAACTCTTTAAAAAAACCTCTCTGGTYTTAAACTCTYASWGTTCTTCATRTCTTTGATGGTGACTCAAAGTAATAATAATAAAAAAGATCAGATTCTTCTCTACAGTCTGTGTTGTRAGCCGCTGTAGCAATGATCTGTTCACAGTCAACATTCCCCTGTGACATCACTTCCTGTTTCTTCACATACAAACATCTCAACAACCGTTCATCTCAGAGACATGAAATCTTTTTTGCAATGTGTTATTTTTGTTATCTTTTTAAAAGTGCATCCATATTTATTACAAAAATCTGACGTCACTGGCACTTTACATAAAAAATGGAAACTGTGGTGAACATGTGACCTGCAGCTGTGACGTCACCCAGAGGTCAAAGGTCACAGTGTGACCTCACGGCCCTGACAGCCTGTGACGGTCTGCAGGCCTCAGGGTGACGGATCACACGGGACCTCTGTGTTGTTCTTGGTGGGTCCGTGTGGGCGAGGTCCCTGTGACTCACAGAGAACCGTTCGGTAAAACTCGTCTCTTTTTTCGTTTGGATTCTTTACTCTGAGCTGAAAGATTCAAACGAAATATTAATGCACAACGTGGGCAGGAAGTGGCAGCGATAAAAGCCTATTTCCTGTTCTTTCAAACTAAAAGCATGGAAGACTTTAAGAGGAGAATCTGTGAAAACACGTTTATCTGAACTCAAGGTGTTTTTTTTAAAAGATAGTCTTTAAACGCAGAGACGCCTGGGTTCCTGTCAGCCCTGCTGGTTTCCTGACCTCAGTCTCACGCTGGTGATGATGATGATGATGATGGGTTTCAGGGGGTCCTGGTCTGGACCCTGTCAGACCCTGTTTAAACTCTGAAGTCTAACAGCAACAAGCTGCTGGAAGCTGGGAGACGTGTTTCAGCCGTTATTAGCAGCTGTTTATGATCCAGCTGTTTCCACCAGATGTTCCTGGAAACAGGAAGTCAGACTTAAATCTGTGGTTTTCTCATTTCACCAGATTATGACCAAAACTGCAGTTTATTCATCCGTTCAGGAGGTTTTTCATCAGTTCATCTCAGCTGACATTAATCATCACAAACTGATTAGATTTGATTTACTGAGTCACTTGATCATCAAATAATCATTTTAACTATTAGCTCACAGCGCCACCTTGTGGACAAGAAACATTTATTAGTTCATTTGAATGGATTTGAATCAGAACTCACTATAATAAATATACAATATATATTTACTATAAAATATACTAATAAAAACATGTCAGTTTAACACAAAGATGACATTTTATTCTAAACGTAAGATAAAAGCTGTTTTAATTTTAACTGATGAGCAGCTGTTTGTCAAATAAATACCTTTAATTTATTATTTAAGAATGACCCAGAGGTTAAAGGTCAAACACTCCTTCAAACAGGAAGTGAAACTTTTAACTTGTCACATCTGAATTATTCTATCAAATAAGAGGATTTAAGATCATTTTAATAATTTATTGAAATATAAAGTTGAACAGTTAAAAAACTTAAATGAAACGACAACTTTTTATATTTTTAAATAATTTATTTTGCAGAGAGCAGCTTGTWTGGCTGCAGGAATCATAAAAACATTGTTTTATTTTGAAATCAGGAAACAGGAAGTTAAAGCTGGTTTCACCCTCTCACAACACAAACACTGAAGATTCTCCCCTTTTTCTGCTTTTACATTTATTTACATTTAAAGTGACAAAACAGATTTTTATTCTTTATTCCAACTTTCAGTCTGAGGTCAGAGTCCTGAAGCCTCSAACTGATCCACAACCCCGAAAACACCTTTTTACATTTTTCACAATAAAAGCATCAAAAGACAGGTTCTGGTCCGCTCCTTTACAGTCCCACTCCTTCAGAACTTTCAACAAACTTTAGTCTGATCAAATTATTTGGACTGTTTTGTTGTAAAGTCGAGAAGGAAGCTGACATTTTTGGTTTTTGTGGCTCGGAGGCGGAGCTCTGAAACAAACAAATCAGAAAACGATACAAAATACTTTGTTCTTAAAAAATCTAAAGAACGTCCCGACTGCAGCTTTCACTGCACACACTGGCTTTTCAGTGCAGAAGAACCGGACCACACCTGGACCAGGTGTGGGCCAGGTGTGGAGCAGGTGTGGGCCAGGTGTGGAGCAGGTGTGGGCCAGGTGTGGAGCAGGTGTGGGCCAGGTGTGGACCAAGTGCAGACCAGACCTGGGCCAGGTATGGAGCAGATGTGGGCCAGGTGTGGAGCAGGTGCAGACCAACCCTGGGCCAGGTGTGGGGCCAGGAGTGGACCAAGTGCAGACCAGACCTGGGCCAGGTGTGGGCCAGGTGCAGACCAGCCCTGGGCCAGATGTGGAGCATGTGTGGAGCAGGTGTGGGGCCAGGTGTGGACCAAGTGCAGACCAGACCTGGGCCAGGTGCGAACCATGTTTGGAGCAGGTGTGGGGCCAAGAGTGGACCAAGTGCAGACCAGACCTGGGCCAGGTGCGGACCATGTTTGGAGCAGGTGTGGGGCCAGATGTGGAGCAGGTGGAGACCAGACCTGGGCCAGGTGTGGGCCAGGTGTGGACCAAGTGCAGACCAGACCTGGGCCAGGTGCGGACCATGTTTGGAGCAGGTGTGGGGCCAGATGTGGAGCAGGTGGAGACCAGACCTGGGCCAGGTGTGGACCATGTTTAGAGCAGGTGTGGGGCCAAGAGTGGACCAAGTGCAGACCAGACCTGGGCCAGGTGTGGGCCAGGTGTGGACCAGACCTGGGCCAGGTGTGGAGCAGGTGTGGGCCAGGTGCAGACCAGACCTGGGCCAGGTGTGGAGCAGGTGTGGAGCAGGTGTGGGACCAGGTGTGGACCAAGTGCAGACCAGACCTGGGCCAGGTGTGAACAAGGTGTGGGCCAGGTGTGGATTAGGACAGCTCTACCACCTGCCTCACATGAACACCTGCACACCTGAGTGAGGAGGAGCCAGTTWTTAACCTCTGTCCAGTGGCTCAGCAGATATTTTGCTAACAGACAGAAACTCTACATCCAGTTTTAAATAAAGATGAAGTTGTTTTTCAGCTGGTTTGGTTTAAAAAACCCAACAAGTCCAGCAGGAGGTTCTGAGGTCAGCTGCAGGTCTCAGTGTTCCACACCACATCCTTCTGGACCGGACCTCACTGGTTCCAGGTCCTGGTCCTGGTCCTGGTTCTGGAGTCTGGTTTGGTCTTTTAACTTTAGGCTGAAACAAGTTAAATCCTGAACCCAGCAGGAAGAAATACAGGACCTGCAGAACCAAACCAGAACCTTCAGAACCACGAACACAAAGACCTGGGTCAGTTCTGGTCTGGTGTTGGACCTCACAGCTCAGAACCTGAAGTCCAGAACCTGAAGTCCAGAACCTGAAGTCCAGAACCTTCTGTTTCATAGCATCAAACGGCCAAATAACTGTTTTCACTGAGGTTTCTTTAGTGTTGGCAGCAGCTCCAGGAGGTTCTGTGGACCTGCAGCTGATCTGAGGCAAGAGGAACATGGACCCAGGAGTTCTGCTCAACCCACAAGAGACAACCTGTCCCAACCTGTCCCCAGCGAGTCCCAACCCATGTGTACTGAGACTAATTCTGAGCGTCCAGCAGTCACAGAGAAACTAACCTGTCCTGGAGGAGCTGAGCTTCTTCTGGGTCCAGAAAACACAGAACTGGTTCTGTGATCTGGTCCCAGGTGTGGTTCTGTGATCTGGTCCCAGGTGTGGTTCTGTGATCTGGTCCCAGGTGTGGTTCTATGATCTGGTCCCAGGTGTGGTCTGCAGACACAAAGGCAGTTTTGTGGTGGTGACAGGTCGTTGTAGGTGGAGGTGAGCAGCAGCAGAGGAGAAGGCAGAAGACGGAGCAGGTCCAGGTGTCTCCTCTGGGTGCAGGTGTCAGACCCAGGTTCAGGCTCTCTGCTCCAGGCAGGAGCCCTGGCTGCAGGGCGGGCTGCAGGGCTGGCTGCAGGGCTGGCCTTGGCACGGTGCTTTCTGCTTCTCCCACTGGCACATGGCGTTGGCGTAAGACACGATGACCTTATCCATCCAGGTGAGCGGCTGAGGGAAGAGCACCGCCCCCTCGAAGAAGCCCAGGTGTCCTCCATGAAGCGTCAGTGCAAACATCACGTTGGGCTTTTTTTCTGAAGATCAAAGAGCAGGACACAGGTCTGAGTCACAACAAGGAAGACAGGAAACACATCCAAATATGGCCCTCACAGCTTCCTGAATCTGATAAGAGCTGTTTAAAGCTTCAATAAAGATTAACTTGATGTTTTTATGACTGAGACACGTCTGCAGGTCCACACTGACACCTACACCTGTCAAACATCAGGACACACCTACACCTGTCCAACATCAGGACACACTTACACCTGTCCAACATCAGGACACACTTACACCTGTCCAACATCAGGACACACCTGTCCAACATCAGGACACACCTGTCCAACATCAGGACACACCTGTCCAACATCAGGACACATCTACACCTGTCCAACATCAGGACACATCTACACCTGTCCAACATCAGGGCACATCTACACCTGTCCAACATCAGGGCACATCTACACCTGTCCAACATCAGGACACATCTACACCTGTCCAACATCAGGACACATCTACACCTGTCCAACATCAGGGCACATCTACACCTGTCCAACATCAGGACACATCTCCACCTGTCCAACATCAGGACACATCTCCACCTGTCCAACATCAGGACACATCTACACCTGTCCAACATCAGGACACACCTACACCTGTCCTGATGTTGGACAGGTGTAGGTGTGTCCAACATCAGGACACACCTACACCTGTCCAACATCAGGACACATCTACACCTGTCCAACATCAGGACACACCTACACCTGTCCAACATCAGGACACACCTACACCTGTACAACATCATGACACACCTGTACCTGAGATGTTCTCACACACACACCTTACAGACAAAGCCTAACGAGCCTCATTAAGAAGGACTCCAGCCTGATCTAAGTGCTTAACGAGGCGTCTCAGGTGAGGCGTCTCAGGTGAGGCGTCTCAGGTGAGGCGTCTCAGGTGAGGCGTCTCAGGTGAGGCGTCTCAGGTGAGGCGTCTCAGGTGAGGACTCTCAGGTGAGGTGTCTCAGGTGAGGCGTCTCAGGTGGATCTAAAGCTGGAACTCAGCAGGAAGCAGGTGTTGAATTTCAAAATAAAAGTCCAGTTGTTTAGTTTTGAACTCTTGCTTGATGACCTGATGAGGATCAAACTAATCCTTTCTGTTGTCCTGTGAGCTCCTGATCCATCCAGCAGGTAAATTAATGTTTCATTAATAACCACCATGTTTGGGAGGTTTCTGTCACTTCAAAGCTCATTAAACAAACCTGCCAGCGTGCGCGGGATGGCGAGCAGCGAGTCGTGAACCAAAGGATCGTCTGCAGAGTTGACCAGCAGCAGCGGCACGTTCACCTGCAGGTTTACACAGAGTCCTGTCAGTAACAGGTGACAGAGCAAGAAGAGGGCGGGGCTAAAGGCAGGCCTTACATTGTGGATGTAATGAACACAGCTCTCCTTCTCGTAGTACTCCTTCAGAGAGCTGTGGCCGTGGAACTTCCTGTGGAAACAGCAGCGGTCAGGCAGGACAGCTTCATGAAGACTGATTAAAGGTGTCACACCAACCTCATGATGTTGTCGTCTATCTGCATGAGAGACGTGGCTGTGAAGAGTCGACTCAGGTCCGCATCGATGCTTTTAACTGAGCTCCCTCCAAACAGACTGTGTCTGGTTCACACAAACAAACACACAAACACACAAACACACAAACAGTTTGTTGTGTTTTCCTCCTCCAGCAGCAGAGGCTACTCCAGGTGTGTGACGTGACTCTAGACCAGGCATGTCCAGCTCTGGTCCTGAAGGACCGGTCTCCTGCAGGTTTTAGATTTGTCCCTGTTTCAACACAGCTGATTCATCTTCTCAGTTTGCCATCAGGGTCTGCAGAGGACCACTAATTAAACACTCGTTAGGATCAGCTGTGTGGAACCAGGGCAGCTCCTAAAACAGGCCTGGTCAGTCCTGGTCCTGGAGGGCCGCAGCCCTGCATGTTTTACCTGTTCCTCTGCTCCAACACACCTAACATGAGGATTATCAGACTTCTGCAGTACGGAGGACCAACACTGACATCATTAAGAAGAAAAACAGAATTATATGAACCACTAAATAAATACACTTAAAGTGCACCAATTAAATTAAAAAGGAGAACTTTATCTCCTGTTTTATATTTTAATTGACTTTCACATGTGTTTTTCCAGATTCCAATAAATTAGTCTATATATTTGAACACATAATTTAAACTTGACTGTTTTTTTAAAACATATTCATTGTTTTTCCTTTTACTTGTACATACATTTGTGTGTGTTAAATGTTTATACTTAATTATTTTTATATTTTTTCCATCAAGTCTTTATTTCTATGTGTTGCATGCTTGTGCTGCCTCAGTTTAGCTAAAAG